CATATTAAAGAAAATTCTTTTGTTAAATTACAAAGAAACGGAGTTCTCTTTACTGTCGTGTGTCATATCAACCGTGTGCCGTTCTCTCACTCGAATCTTTCCGCGCGGTGCATTCTCGCACATTTTCTGGTCCTTCGAGCCGGATTTGAACCAGCGAGAAATATTGTTAGACAAACGCCGCATCACTTTAAAAATTTCACGCCAGCGCTCTCGCTCTGATTCGCTCTCGCACATTTTCTGGTCCTTCGAGCCGAATACTCGCCGGCATCCGCAGTGTCGAGGGCATCGCGTTCAGTGCACGTATTATCAAGAAAAGCAGAGAGAGAAGAATTCGCAAGTGAAATCATGAGTGACGAAATAGCCGCCTTGCTGACTGCCCAGAGTGACCTCCACGGTCGCATGGCCAGGTCAGTGACCAATTTAAGGAAAATGGGGATAGCCAACATCACCCTCCGCGCTGTCGAAATCCGCTCGACGCTTCTTGACCAGATGTGGGTGGAATTCGAAAAGCAACACAAGCTTATTAGAGCACTTTACAAGGAAGCCTTCAATCAGAGTGAGTACAACATGTCTCAATTTGCCGATTCCACCGAAAACACGTGCGTGCAGCAGCAAAGTCTGCTGGACGATTACCGGACAAAGCTCAAAGCTGAGAAATCAAGTACAGCTCCTCCAAGTGAATCGGGAACCGATTGTTCTACCAAGTCGGCACTGCCGCGCTTAAAAATCCGATCGTTTTCGCATCGTTTCGGGATATTCTTCTTTCTTGTCTGTCGTTGGCAACAATCCGTCTATCTCAAACGTAGAGAGATTTCACCATTTAAAGCATTGCCTGGAAGGCCGCGGAAGCGTTGATACGCCCGCTGGCCGTAACCGGAGACAACTATTCGCGCGCGTGGGCGCTGCCCTGCAAGCATTATGAGAACAAACGGGAGTTGTCGCGCTCCAATTTTGCACGTTCACCTCAGTGCAGAAAATGAAAAACGATACCGCCGAGGAACTTAGCCGCATCTACAACGCCGCAATCAATGTCGTGAACGGCCAAGGAAGTATTGAGAGACCAATTGACTCACATGGATTCGACCTTTTGAATCACCTAGTCATCGAGCTTTTCGACCCGAAAACGCGTCTCGAGTGGGAATCGCACATGAGCGATTCCACGGACTTGCCAAACCACGACACGTTGCTGGACTTCATCACAAGGAGAACGCTAACTCTCAAAGCCGCCAAATCAAAATCGCTCAAGGTCTCCGACAACCCGTCGCGATCTGCCAAGTCGCATTACGTCAAGAAATACACCGAATCTTCACAATGCGTCCTATGCAAGGGTAAGCACCACGTGATGGTGTGTGAAGAATTCAAGAAAAAATCCGCGGTCGACCGCAAGGCCGTCGCCGAAACTCACAAGCTGTGCTTCAACTGCCTCGGCTCTCATACATTTGCGAAGTGCCATTCGACGAGGACGTGTGCCACGTGCAAGTCTCGTCACCACTCAATGTTACACGACGAGTATGCTTCACAGAAACCTCAAGAGGTCAGCTCCCTGACGCAA